TTATAAGTTAATATCATTAATATAGTATTTATTAGAATAATCTCTTTATAGCTCGGGGTTATTTAGTATAATACTTATAAAATCGAACTTCTAGATATTAAGGAAGCCCTAAGGGTCGACGAGTTATTAATAACGTCTTAGTATTTTAATAAAGTATGCTTAAAATAAATAGTTAAATAGTAATAATAATAATAATAGTATAATAATAATAAATAGCGAGGGAAGTAGCGTTTTTTAACTTTAATAAAAAAACCGAGGTAATAAATATATATATATATAAGTAAAGTTAAAATAGGGTAAATATTAAGTTAGTATTATTTTTAATAATAATAACGAGGGTATCTCTAATACTACCGTTATGAGCTACTATACTTAAAAAGGTAGCTAACTTAGCTAGGTACGTAGTAAGTTTATAGAGTAATAGCGCTTATTATTATTATTAATAATCTATAGTTATAAACTTTATAAGAGGGAAAGTTAAAAAAGTAAAAAATTAAAAAATAATAGTTTAACGAGATAGTAAGAGTATTTATTAATACTATATATTAATACTATATAAACGATATCGAGAACTGCCTAAGTAGTTAGTAAAAGTAGAATAAATAAATAAATAAATAGTAATATAAATAAGCCTAGACTTAATAATATAATTAAGAGCTTAAAAAGAGTATAAGTAAGCGTATTAAATAAGAATATTAGAGAGAGGTTATTATTAAATAAGATAAAAGGAAAAAGTAAGGGGTAATATTTAGTTATTAAGAAGGCGATTAATATATTATAATAGCGGGATTATTAATATTCTAAGTTTAGTTAGTATTAATAGTTAATAATAGTTATATTAGCTATAACTAGCTAGTATTAGTTAATATAAAATCTTATTAAAGTACGTAATAAAAACTTAATATTAACCTTAATAAACTAGCTTACTTATAAAGGCGAAGATGGCCCCTAATAAGGCGGGCCGGACCCTAAAGGGTTATAAAGAGTATACTTATATTAATAAGATAGTAAAAGATTATAATATATTAAAAGATATAATTTATACTTATATATTCTTAATAATCCGTAGTTATGAACTTTATAAGAGGGAAAGTTAAAAAGGTGAAAAATTTAAAAGAAAGAAAATAGTTTAATAAGATAGTGGGCGTATATATTAATACTGTATATTAATACCGTGTAAACGATATTAAGAACCGCCCGAGTAGCTAGTAAAGGCAGAATATTAAAACAAATACTTATATATTTTTTCTTTATCCTTATTTTCTATATTATTAATTTTAGTAATTAAGTAAATATAAAATAAGTCTTATTGTTTAGATAATAAAGAGAAGAAATCTAAAGAGCTTTTTTATAAATAAATAAAAGTTTTATAAAAAGCTTAGTTAAATATAAACGAAGTTCTTATTAAATCAGAGCGTATAAAAAAAAACGAATAATTTTTAAAAAGGGTCGTATAATATCCGGAGGGATTATTACTAATTCTTAGGACGAAGTCCTAGGTAAGTCTTCCTTAGTACGGGTAGCTTAGTTTATCAATACTTTTAATATAGCTAATTAAGAAGCTATATTAATAAGGAGTTCGGGTTTTAATTTTAATTTTAATACTCCTAAGGCGATTATTAAGAATTCTAAAAGTTCGTAACGAGTTTTTATATATTTCTTTTGTATTTATAGCTTTTTCACTTAATAAGATATTCTTTTATTTTATTATTTATTTTAGAATTAATAACTTTTTTAACCTCGTATTTTAATTAATTTAATTCGATAATAATATAAGCTTTTATATACGAACCTCTAAGTATTAGTTCGAGAAATAAAATATAAAAGACCAGATAGTACTTTATTATATTTAAGAGTTTTAATTTATAATTAATTAGTAAGACTTTTGAAATAATTTTAAAAGGTTTAAGCTTTTTATAATTTGATTTATTACTTAGTCGTTTTGTTTTAATATTATATATAGTAGTTTTTTTTTCTAGCTTTATAAGCACAAAAGATCGACCTTAATAAGATTACGCTTTTAAAAAAAATTATACGATATAATATACTTTTTAACTATATAATACGTATAATATATCCTAAGTACGTACTTAACGTAATATAATAATTTTAATATAAAAACCGCTATTTAATTTGGGATAAGTAAGCTGCTTTATAATAGTACTAGCTAAAAAAGTTAACGGTAGAAGTTGGCTATAATAGTTAGCTATAATAGTCGGCCGTAATAATTGGCCGTAATAGTTAAAAGCGGCCCTTAACTATAGAGGTTCTAAACTTTAATAATAACGTAGAGGTTTTTAAAAAAAGGGCTAAATAGGCTAATATCTATTACTCAGAGCTTATAAAGATTTTTTTTATCCTTATTATTTCTAATATCGCCCAAAGCTACTCTTTATTTAAACTAAATAAATTTACTAAACAAATCTACTAAATAAACCTATTAATATATAAACTACTACTTTAATAAGAACCTATTCTATTTTTAATATATAGTTAGTAATTAGTAAGCTTACTTAAAGATGCCCGTTAATAAGTTTACCCCTCTTAGGCTAAGTACCCTCTTTAGCTAGCTCGACGCTATAACTATCGTAATTAATATAAGTACGCTTAAAAAGTAGTAAAGTATTTTTTAATAATACGGAATTTAGCTAAGTAATATTATAAGCGCTATAAATAGCTAAGCTAATACGGATATTAGGATTTAATATATCGACGCCGGCCTAGTTATAATAATTATAATAAACGGGCCGGAGGTATATAAGGTTAAGGTAATAAGCTAGCGTTTTAAATAGCTCCTACGAGACCCCCTAGGTAATAATAATACTTATATAAAAAAATAGATTATACTAAACCTAATTACTTATGCGGGCTAGTACTAAGAGGTCCTATGTACGTTAGAATAGGTAAAGCTCGCCCTATAAGCGGGCGGTAGAAAGTTAGGAGCTATTTTAGTTAGTAATTAGGTATAGAGCGTATTATACCCAGTTTTCCTTAATACGTAATACACGGTACGGCCCTAGCGGATTACTCCGTCGGGGGGGTTTTAATATTATAATAAAAGAGATAGGTATTATCCCCTTTTTTTTTAAAATTAGTCTTTTAATCCTTAATTTATTAACGTATTCTTTTATATAGTAGTTTCTTTCCGGCTTTATAAGTATAAAAGATCGACCTTAACGGGATCACGTTTTTAAAAGAAATTATATAATATAATATACTTTTTAATTATATAATATATATAATATACCCTAAGTACGCGCTTAACGTAATATAATAATTTTAATATAAAAACCGCTATATAATTCGGAATAAATAAGCTACCTTTTACGTAATAGTGCTAGTTAAATAGGTTAATAATAAAAGTCGGCCGTAATAGTTAGCTATAATCGTTAACTATAATCGTTAGAGGCGGCCCTTAACCGCAGAGGTTCTAAACTTTAATAATAACATAACGGTTTCTAAAAAAAAGGGCTAAAAGGGCTAATATCTAGCTACTTAGAGCTTATAAAAATTCTTTTTATTCTTATTATTTTTAATATTACTTAAAGCTTTATTTAAACTAAATAAATTTATTAAATTAACTTATTAAATTAACTTATTAAATAAACTTATTAATATATAAACTATTACCTCGTTATGAACCTAAAAATACCTCTTAATAGGTCCCCCCCTCTAGGGCTTAATAGATTCTTAGGCCCCCTTAACGCCCTAATTATTATAATTAATATAAGTATACTTAAAGAGTAGTATAATACTTTTTAGTAATATAGAATTTAGCTAAATAATAATATAAATACTATAAATAGCTAGGTTAATACGGACGTTAAGATTTAATATATTAATACTAACTTAGAAATTATATTTTATAAAATTAGAAATTCTTCTAATATAAGTTATATTATAAATATAAGGGAATATATAAGAGGTCCCTTAATTTTTAATAAAAAGGAGTATATAATATAAGATCTAGTTACTTATATAAGCTAGTATTAAGAGGTCTTATTTACGTTAAAATAGGTATAGCTTACCCTCTAAATAACTAGAACTTAGAGGACTATAGTAAAAGGTTAGGAGTTTTAATTAATAATTAGGTATAGAGCGTAATAGACCTAGTTTTCCCTAATACGTAATATATAGTCCGGCCCCGGTAGATTGCTCTATCGGGGGGAATAGCTACGTTAATATTTCTAATTTTTAAGTTAATAATATCTAATCCGTATTCCTTAAAACGATCGTACTATAGTTCGGGGTCCTTTAGTATAATGCTTATAAAACTAAACTTCTAGCTCTTAAGGTTTCCCTATAGATTAATAAGTTAACGTCTTAGTATTTTAATAATATATATTTAAAATAAATAATTCGATAATAATAATAATAATAGTAATTATAATAGTATAATAATAATAAATAATAAGAGAAGTAGCGTTTTTTAATTTTAATATAAGAAACGAGGTGATAAATATATATATATATATATATAAGTAAAGTTAAAATAGGGTAAATATAAAGTTAGCGCTAGCTATTCTTAATAATAATAATAATAATATCTCTAATATTACTATTATAAGCTATTATTATTTAGAGGGCTATAAACTTAGCTAAGTAAACGGCTTATAAAGTAGTAATATTATACTTAATATTATTATTAATCCGTAATTATAAATTTTATAAGAAGGAAAGTTTAAAAAGGTAGAAGAATATTTAAAAAAAAGAAATTTAATAAGATAGTAGAAGTATTTACTAATACTATATGTTAATACTATATAATCGATATTAAGAATCGCCCGAGTAGCTAGCAAAGGTAGAAATAAAAAGTAAATACTATTATATATAAACTAAGTTATTAAAAATAATAATACTTAGTTATTTTAGTTATAGTTAACGTAGTAGCGGAGGTAAGTTTTTAAGATCTAATTAATTCTTTTTATTTATTTATTAGTTTGTAAATAGAAGGCGGTTAATAGCTTATAGTTTATACTAAGTTATAAAATTAAGGATTTTTAAAATATTAAGGTAAATATACTTCTTTTATTAAAAATGATTTCTTTAGGTACTTTATAATTTACGATAACTACTTTAAAAAATATATTTATTAGATCTTTTATATTACTTACTTCTTTATATAGTACGAAGTATACGTATTTAATAAGTTAGTTAATAATAATTAATATACTATTAAATTATACTTTTATAAGTAGTTCTCGGGACTTAAGGAGTTTAATAATAAAGTTTTATAAGATCGAGTATTACGTTTTTAATATAAGTAGTAGCGGTTATAGTTCTTTATAAGGTTTATATAAGCTATTTTTACTTTTTTTATAAGTTACGTAGTTCTTAATTACGTTAATAATTTTAGTACGTATAGCGGATTTATTATAATATTAGCAAATTCGTTTTTACGTTTTTATAATACCTTAATAGCTATGCGCTTTAGCGCTATATATTTTTATAATAGTCTTAATAGATATTTTTTTAGTCGAGCTAGTATTACTTTTTTTAGTTATTATTAGGAATTTATAAGCTAATATAAGGTTTTTATTTATATTTTTTTTAAGGATAACCTAAGTCTCTTCGGGTACCTCGATTTTATAATTAGGTCTTTTATTAAGAGCGTTTACTCTATTATTTTCTCATCTTTTTCAGTAAACTATTTTAAAAAAATACTTAGAGAGGTATTTTAATTATTATACTTATTATTTATTTAAGTTTTTGAACGTAGTAAAGTATGCGAGATTTTTATAATTAGTATATATTATAACTTCGTATTTAGTATTAAATAATTATAGTCTTTATTTTTAAAAGGCTTTCATAATAGCTATTAGTTTTTTATTATAAATTTAGTAATTAAGTTCGGCTCTATAAAAGGCTTTCGAATAGAAAGTATAAGGTTATAAGCGTCTTTCATTATTTTATTAGCTAAGTACTACGTTTATAGCGAAGTTTAAAGCGTCGATTTTTATTTTAAAAAGCTTTATAAGGTCCGGGATTATTATGACTAGTTTAGTTATAATTATATTTTTGACTTTAGTAAATACTTTTTCGGATTTAGGGTCGTAGATAAATAGTATATTTTTTTATATTAAACTATTCAGAAGTCTTATAATATTAGCGTATTTTTTAAAGAATTGTTAGTAGAAGTTAATAAGTCTTAAGAAGGATTAAACGTCCTTAATATTAAGAGGTATGGGCTAGTCCCTGATTACCTTTACTTTAAATCGTTATATATAGATTTCTTTTAATATATTAATATAGCTTACAAATTAGCTAGGTGCGCAGGCTCACAAGGTAGTAGCGTCCCGCGCCTAACATTACCGTTAATCCGTGTTTATAAACTTTATAAAAAGGAAAGTTCAGAAGGTAGAAGAAAATCGAAAAAATAGTTTAATAAGATAGTATAAGTTCTACTAATACTATATATTAATACCGTATAACCGATATTAAGAATCGCCCGAGTAGCTAGTAAAGGTAGAATAGTAAAACAAATAATTTTTAGAATTATTTATTTTTTATTCTTTATTTTTACTTTTACTAGCTACTCAGGCGATTCTTAATATTAGTTATATAATATTAATATATAATATTAGTAAATATTCTTATTATCTCGTTAAACTAATCTTCTCTCAAATATTCTTTTATTTTTTTAAACTTTCTCTTTTATAAAATTTATAATTATAGATTATTAATGGCAATATTAAGCGCCTAACGCTACTACTTTATAAGCCTACGCTTACTTAGCTAAGTTTATTACTTTTTAAATAATAATAGCTTATAATAATATAATATTAGAGATACCCTCGTTATTATTATTAAGTATAATACCGACCTTCTTATTACTAATATTTACTACGCTTTTAATTTTAACTCGTATATATATATATATATTTATTACCTCGTTTCCTTTATTAAAATTAAAAAACGCGGCTTCCTTACTATCTATTGCTATTACCCTATTACTATTATTATTAAATTATTTATTTTGAATATATATTATTAAAATACCGAGACGCGTAGTTATTATTAACCCTTAGGGCTTTTTTAATAACTAGAAGTTCGATTTTATAAATATTATATTACCCCCCGACGGAGCAATCCGCCGGGGCCGTATCGTATATTACGTATTAAAAAAAACTAGGTATATTACGCTCTATACCTAACTATTAATTAAAATAGCTCTAGACCTTCCCCTACTTATTTAAAGGGCGAGCTATACTTATTTTAATATATATAAAACCTCTTAGTACTAACTTACGTAAATAACTAAATCTTATATTATATACTTTTTTTTATTAAAAGTTAAGGGGCCCCTTATATATTCCTTTATATTTATAATATAGCTTATATTAAAAAGATTTTTAGTTTTATAAAATATAATTTCTAAGTTAACATTAATATATTAGATCTTAACGTTTATATTAGCCTAGCTATTTATAATATTTATATTATTACCTAGCTAAATTCCGTATTATTAAAAAGTACTTTACTAATCCTCGGGCATATTTATGTTAGTTATAATAGCTCTAGTATTAAATTAGCTAAAGAGGACGCCTAGCCCGAGAGGGGTAGACTTATTAACGGGCATCTTTAGCCTACTAATTACTAACTATATATTAAGAGTAAAGTAGTAGTTTATATATTAATAAGTTTATTTAATAGATTTATTTAGTAAATTTATTTAGTTTAAATAGAGCTTTAGGTAATATTAAAAGCGATAAAAATAAAAAGAATTTTTATAAGCTCTAAATAATAAATATTAGCCTATTTAACCCTTTTTTTTAAAAACCTCTATATTATTATTAAAGTTTAGAACCTCTATAGTTAGGGGCCGCCTCTAACTATTATAGCTAATTATTATAACTAATTATTACGGCTAACCTCTATTATTAACCTTTTTAATTAGTACCGTTATATAAAAAGTAGCTTACTTATCCTAAATTATATAGCGGTTTTTATATTAAAATTATTATATTATATTAAATACGTACTTAGGGTATATTATATATATTATATAATTAAAAAGTATACTATATTATATGATTTCTTTTAAAAACGTAATCTTATTAAGGTCGATCTTTTGCACTTATAAAGCTAGAAAAAAACTACTATATAAATATTATACTAGGGGACCCCGAATTATAATACGGCCGTCTTAAGGAATATAAATTAAATATTATTAATTCAAAGTTCGGAAAGATATATATTAATATAATTATTATTTTAATAAGTACTTAGTTTATATAGTAATTCTTTTCCGGCTTTATAAGTATAAAAAATCGACCTTAATAGGATTACGCTTTTAAAAAAAATTATATAATATAATACACTTTTTAACTATATAATATATATAATATATCCTAAATACGTACTTAACATAATATAATAATTTTAATATAAAAACTACTATTTAATTTAGGATAAGTAAGCTACCTTTTATATAGTAGCGCTAGTTAACAAAGTTAATAATAGAGGTCGGCTATAATAATTAGCTATAATAATTAGTTATAATAGTTAGCTATAACAGTTAAAAGCGGCCTTCCTTAACTATAGAAGTTCTAAATTTTAATAATAACGTAGAGGTTTTTTAAAAAAGGGCTAAATAGGCTAATATTTACTACTTTTTAAAGTTTATAAAGATTTTTTTTATCCTTATCGCTTCTAATATTACCTAAAGCTACTCTCTATTTAAACTAAATAAATTTACTAAATAAATTTACTAAATAAATCTATTAAATAAATTTACTAAATAAACCTATTAATATATAAACTACTACTTAAATAGCTAGTTAGATAACTAATTAAGAGGTTAGCTAGTTAAAATACTACTTTAATAAGAACTTACTCTTACTAAAAGATACTTATTAATAAGTCTACCCCTCTCGGGCTAGGCGCCCTTAGCTAGCTCGACGCTATAGCTATTATAATTAATATAAGTACGCCTAAGGAGTAATAAAGTACTTTTTAATAGTATAGAATTTAGCTAAGTAATATTATAAGTACTATAAATAGCCGGGTTAATATAAATATTAAGATTTAGTATATTAATATTAACTTAATTATAATAATTATAATAAACGGGCTAGAGGTATATAAAGTTAGGGTAATAAGCTAGTACTTTAAATAGCTCTTATAAAACCCCCTAAGTAATAATAATACTTATATAAAAGAATAGATTATACTAAACCTAGTTACTTATATAGGCTAGTACTAAGAGGTCTTATGAGCGTTAAAATAAGTAAAGCTCGCCCTATAGGTAGCTAGAAGTAGTAAAAAGTTAGGAGTTAATAAAAAGGAGACAATAGTCGAGTTAGTTAATTACTATTTTAGTTAGTAATTAAGTATAGAGCGCATTATACCCAGTTTTCCTTAATACGTAATATATAGTACGGCCCCGGCGGATTACTCCGTTAGAAGAAAGTACTTAGTTTATATAATACGCGTTTAAAATACTTAATTAATTTTAAAATACTATTAATATTTCAAAAACGTAGTATAAAAATAAGTTAAAAAAAACTAAAAGGGATATTTAAAGTTATTAAATAAGGTAGAAAGTAGGGGGTAGTTTTTAATGATTTAGAAAGTAATTAATATATTTTAATAGGATCGTTAGTATTTAGTAATAGCTATAGCTAGCTATAGTTAGTTATAAAGTTTTATTAAAATACGTAATAAAAATACTTAATATTAACCTTAATGAACTAGCTTATTTATAAAGCCGAAGATTCCGTAGTTATGAACTTTGCAAGAGGGAAAGTTAAAAAGTTAGAAAATTTAGAAAAAAAATAGTCTATCGAGATAGTAAGAGTATCTATTGATACTATGTATTAATACTGTGTAATTGATATTGAGAACCGCCCGAGCAACTAGTAAAAGTAAAATAAAAAAACAAATAAAGCTAAAAATAGCCCCTAATAAGGCGGACCGGACCCTAAAGGGTTTTTTAAAATTATATTATATTCGTTTTTTATTTTTGTTATATTATAAGCGATTTTTTCCCCCCAACGGAGTAATCCGCCGGGGCCGTACTATATATTACGTATTAAGGAAAACTAAATATATTACGCTCTATACTTAATTACTAATTAAAACTCCTAACTTTCCCTTATAATCCTCTAAGTTCTAGCTATTTAGAGAGTAAGCTATACCTACTCTAATA